TAGTTAACATGTACAATATGTGAACAATACCTCTTCAGCATTTATTAATCTTAGTTAATATTAATTCCAACATTTACTAATACGTTATTAAAATCAAAGGTTGTATTAGTTAACATCAGTTAATGGACTGAGAACTAACATGAACGCACAATGAACAGCTGTATTTATATTAACTAACATTAACAAAGATTAACAAACACTGTAACTAATGCATTGCTCATCATTAGTTCATGTTAGTTAATGCATTTACTAATGTTAACTAATGAACCTTATTATAAAGTGTTACCAAAAAATCTAATTCAAAATATTAACAAAAAAAAAAAAAATATATAGTTTGCATATCCTTTGTTTGATTTTGTGAAATGTGATCCATCGGTTCTTGACAGGTTTCATAAGATTCACCAATTACTTTTAGACTAACACAGCTTCTCCCGATAAATTATGCAGTTAACATAAAAGACCAAAGACTTTATAATATCTGAGCTGCATGAGTGTCCATAATGAATGCTATAAACTGTTTCTTTACAGCTTTGGCACATGCACACACACGCTCCAACACAAAAACAGCATGGACGTTGCATATGCTCAGCATGAATTTATATTCTGCACCTTTCATTTCTACGGTCTGAAACAAAGCAGCGCATTCATAGCAGCCGGCAGCATTACAGCCGTTGACCCTGCAGAAACTCTTGTTACAAATATCTTGTAAGTATTGTGCAGACGCAATACAAAACAAACAAAAAATCTGTGCTTTCCTTATAACTCATTTACAGTTCTCTCAGCACTATCGTCAAATACGATTGACAAGTAGCATACAGTTTGGATTGCGGGGGTATCCTGCTCATCCATACAGCCTATTATGGATAAGAGCAGGGAGAGCAGCAATCTTATGGTAAACAGAATAGAACCAACATGAATGTATTGCAGATTTCATTCATTCAAGATTATAAAGTACAACATAATCCGAGAAATTAGTCTGATTCAAGGGGAATCAGAATGCCAAATCCTGACTGGATGAGAGGTGGAGCTGGGGATGGAGGAAGATAATTAGCTCCTGAGAAACACGATAGCTGCTAATACTGAAGGAGCTTATATATGAATATAGTGATAGGGGTTGTTTTCCTATAGGTTGAGAATAGGTATAGCTATAGGCAGTGTTGTGCCTGCACACGTTCCTGAACGCTTTCCTATTTTGGGCGAACGTGAACTGAACAGTACTGTGAACGTATTACAGTTCATTCTGGTGTCTGTGAACGCACGCTCTCTCAGTTTAACTTTGTACAATAGGGTGCCAGATTTCTAAAGAGCCTTCCAGGCGAAAACCCGGCTAAAACACATGTCAGCAGGCCTTAATATGTAGCGAAAAAACACTCAATCTGGCAACACCAGACACCAGTGTTGCACCGCGGCCGCCGTCGACAAAGCAGCGAGCGAGGAGGCGTCGTATGATCATTTAAACAGGTTTTATGACGAGGTTGGTGAGGATGGGAAAAATCGTACATTTCTGTGCAAACTTTGCCCGTCGTTAAAATAATTGTTGTCTGTGGTTGTATATGGCCTGTGGCAATAATGATAATAATAATAAAATCTCGCAATATATGGAAAAAAAAGAACTATGAATGAACTACTTATTTTTTGAAGTATGAACTATGAACTGAACTAGTTCATTTTAAAATGTGTGAACTGAATTTTGAACTAGTTCATGCAGAAAGTGAACTTTTCCAACACTGGCTATAGATGTAGCTGAGAGTCAGCTGATGCGAGCTTGACTAACGTGACCTGCCAGAACTGACCTCACGCTTAATATTTACTACACTATTTTGATTTTTAACAATCTTTGATGTCTTATAAGGAAAGTTAATGCAGCAAAGAAAGGAGAACTAACTAGTTTATTTCAGTCTCTTGTCCTCTCTCTCTTTGTTCGACTGTAATTCCATCCCTTTTCCAGAACAAATGGACTGTCAGACCGTCAATCAACTTGATTGACAGGCCTTCCATCCAATATTCACAAGCTGTCCACTTATCCTGTCTCACCATTGGCATAGAGAAAATGCCTTCATACTCTTCATAAAAATAATCAAACACATGAGATTTTATGCAGATATTAAGCAAAGTGTGTGTTATTGATTTGCCTCCTAGCAATAAGATTCCAGGGGTTCTGAAAAAAAGCAGCCATATTTCAATTTGCTGAGTGACAGTTTTATCATGAAACGTCTTGTTTATGAAAATCTGGTGTTATGTGCAATAAATCTGTGATTTTGGAGTCAGCTGCAGAACTGAGCCTCTAATCTTCATCCTAAATCTCCACCACTGAAAATGATACTGTCCTCTCCCTGCGGCCCATCATGCGCTTTAGGGTTTGTTTTGGGTGGTGATTATATTGCAGACATTCTGATGCAACAAAGAGACGGAGAATAAGAAAATTCCATTCCATTAAGAAAAAGGGAATAAGACTGTTGGGGTGAAAAAGAAAGACGGGTCAGTAGCGGGATGTGTTTGCGTAAGAGGGGCGTCAACCCAAAATTAAAAAGCTGATATCCCCACCAGAGCTGCACCACTGATGTCATCACTGTGGGACACACCCAAGCTGGCTACATGACACGAAGAACTTTAAGAGTCACTGCAGGGACAACTGGAAAGATTCACAAGACGAAATGCACAGAAGAAAGACTGCTACAATCGTTCCAGGAATGGGAGGCCTTTGAAGGACAATTTGAAGATTGCAAATTTGCTTAGCCTAATTATAAAAATTGTTTTAGCATTAAAGGGGACCTATTACGCAAAAATTCATTACATATTGTTCGAACATAAATGTGTGTTGGCAATGTGTGTACACAACCACCCTATAATGCCAAAAATACACCCACTCCTCTTTTTTTAATCCCCATAAATCATAAGCAGTGTCTCAGAACAAGCAGTTTGCCGCTTCAATGAAATGTGACGTCACAAATGCAAATACTGACAGACTCTGCCCTATTAGCATAAACCCCGTCCTGAGTGAGCTGTACACAGTCCGCCATGTTTATCTCCTCGCCAGAGCATTTAACAGCAGCGTTCAAGTAAGAATTTTGATTTTCTGCTTTCTTTTGTAGTTTGATTCATATTTACAGCATATATAACAGTAGGTACTGTATATTATGCTGCTTTCACTTTAAAGGGTTAGTTCACCCAAAAATGAAAATTAAGTCATTAATTACTCACCCCCATGCTGTTCCAACCCCGTAAGACCTTCGTTCATCTTCGAAACACAAATAAAGATATTTTTGATTGAATCTGAGAGCTAGATCAGTCCTAGATAGACTGCCTAAGGGACTGGCTCTTGACGGCCCATAAAGTCATTACAGAAAAGGTTTAAATATTCCATGTGCCTACAGCGGCTCAATTATAAGTTTATCAAGCGACGAGACTACTTTTTGTGCGAAAAAAACATAAATAACGACTTTATTCCACTATTTTATTACTTCCTTATGGGTGCATGCGCGAGAACTGAGACGAGGACGTTCTCATTCGTCTACTTCTTGTTACCGGCTGCTCACCGCTTAGGAGTTTTACCGCCACCTACCGTATAAAATGATGATGCATATATAAGGCGCTCCGGATTATAAGGAACACTGTCGTTTTTTGAGAAGATTAAAGGCTTTTAAGTGCACCTTATAGTGCGGAAAATACGCAAATTGAAAAGCGTATGTGCAGCGCGCATCTTCCTCTGCTTGTAAACAGAAAGTTTTGCGCTTCCAGCTGTATCAGCACATCATCTTATACGGTAGGGGGCGGTAATACTCCTAAGCGGTGAGCAGCCGGTAACAAGAAGTAAACGAATGAGACATCCTCGTCTCAGTTCTCGCGCATGCGCCCATAAGGAAGTAATGGAATAGTGGAATAAAGTCGTTATTTATGTTTTTTTCGCACAAAAAGTAGTCTCGTCGCTTGATAAACGTATAATTGAGCCGCTGTAGGCACATGGAATATTTAAACCTTTTCTTTAATGACTTTATGGGCCGTCAAGAGCCAGTCCCTTAGGCAGTCTCTATAGGACTGATCCAGGACTCAGATTCAATCAAAAAAAGGAGCAGCAGCAGCTCATTTGCATTTATAGAGACATGCACAAAAGAGGAGGTTTTCCTTCAACTCAAAAATGGGCATTTGAAATATTGTATAATAAATTATCTGTGGGGTATTTTGAGCTAAAACTTCACAAACACATTCTGGGGACACCTGAGACATATTACATCTTGTAAAAAAGGGGTCCCCTTTAAATAATGGTTGGCTGATCAAATGCCAGATCTTCAATTTCAATAAATGTTTTTGAGAAGCACTTCTATCATGTAGTCAGCAATGTGCACTTTTAATTGGGTAAAAGTGCGTGAGAGTGTTTGCGAACGGAAGTGAAAAACCAGAACTTTGAATGTGTGAAGTGCGAACGATCACTGCACTTTGACCTAATCTAGTCTGTGCATCTAATATCATTTTGAAAGTCATACAAGTTTGGAATGACAGAAAGGCTGAGTAAATGATAACAATATTTATTTTGGGATGAAAACACTTGAAAACACTCACACACACTTTTACCCAATTAAAAAAAAGCACATTGCCCCACATTGGGTGTTTAGATAGTATACTCTCTAGAATGTGGGATCAATTACTCTTTCACCCCACACATGCACAGCTTACTCACAGAAACATTCCAACACCTTTCATAGCGAGCACAGATACTTAAATAAAAACTTCCAAGAATCCAGCTGTTGTTGTCCACTGCTGTCAACATGACAGGACACACAAATCTGACTTAGACAAACACAGTCTTATGAAGAACATAATCACTACTCCTCCGCCTTGTGCAGGACAACTGCTGTATTCTGATAGGAAGAATGCAAACAGCAGCCTGGACCTTGGACTATATCAAACCACCAGCCTTCGTCTATTGAACGCTGTACAGATGACTTGCAACTAACAATATTTATTCTGGCCCACGCAACTGCGGTATTGAGAGGGCGACTTACCCAATCTGTCTGTTGGTGGAAGGGGCTTGAGTGATGACCGAACTGGACTGGGGCGAGGGCAGTGCCTGCTGGATTACTATGCTGCTGTCGTGGTTGGCCATTCTTGAGTGGGTCTGCTGGTGCTGGTTAGGGCCCCCCTGGCCATGAAGAGTGATGTTCTGTTCAGAAACACAAAGGGTGGGATGGGGTTTATGAGCACAGGGGTAAAATATTTAATGTCAATGTATTGTAACTAGGGCTGTCAAACGATTAATCGCGATTAATCGCATCCAAAATAAAAGTTTGTGTTTACAGAATATATGTGGGTGCACTGTGTATAATTATTTTTTATATATAGATACACACACATGCTTGTAAATATTTAAGTAATATTTTCGTGTATTTACTGTATATAGATTTATATATACTTTACATTATATATAAATATTATATATATAAATAATATTTTTTTCTTAAATATACATGCATGTGTGTATATATATATATATATATATATATATACAAAAAAATAATTATACACAGTGCACCCACATATATTATGTAAGCACAAACTTTTATTTTGGATGTGATTAATCGTTTGACAGCCCTAATTGTAACATAACTGAACTTAAAAAAAAAAAAACCTACAAAACAAGTCAACACCAAACTACTACACAATAAAAAAATAAATAAATAAATGATCAATGAGTTGTGACAACAAAAGCTTTTACATTGCTTTATTTTATTTATTTATACTCATTTCAATTTTAAGCCAATTTAGTGTAATTTAAGGTTACTTAAACATCCAAGTTGATTGTACTTAAAAATTTAAGGCAGCAACTTTTTTTACAGTAAATTTAAAAAAAAAAAAAAATTCATTGTCTATTGTGTATCTTAGTGATGTATGCACACCTCAAACAAAAGTTACTTTCAAATTTGACCGATTTTCATATCCGTGTGTCCAACTTTTGTGAAATCATTTACGGTCGCTCATGCGAAATTCACAATCACTGTTATTTGGTTTTTCGCCCATGAAAATTCATCAAACCACGGTAAATGTGATTGCACCTCAAGCATGTACACTTACACTCTTCATCTTCATCCTTCGGATGAGATGTTAAACCGAGGTCCTGACTCTCTGTGGTCACAAAAAATCCCAGTATGACTTTCGAAAGAGTAGGGATGTAACCCCAGCATCCTGGGCAAATTTGCCCAGTGGCCTGTCCATCATGGCCTCCTAATCATCCCCATATATATATGAAGAGTTCAGATGCAAAAGCCTCTAAGTGCCATTTGAAATTTTCTTCTAGAATGCTAATTTTTATCAAGCTTGTATATTTAAGTTCAGTAATTTCACTTAAATGGCAATGATAATTACCTATAAATTGTTATTTAAGTGAAATTATTGAACTTAAATATACAAAGTACAAGTTTGATAAAAATCATCATTAAAGAAGAAAATTTCAAATGGCATTTAGAGCCAAAATTTCAAATGACATAACTCTTCATTTATATATATATATATATATATATATATATATTATACCAATATGGCTGCCGTCGCATCATCCAGGTGGATGCTCCATATTGGTGGTGGTTGAGGAGATTCCCCCTTCTATGTGAAGCACTTTGAGTACGGATAAAAGCGCTATATAAATGTAATGAATTATTATTATTATTATAGAACTAAAACTAGAAACAAGGCATGAACCCAGCTAACAGGGAACCTTCTCAGGTCTTTGGCTAACGTTCTGCCAAGGTTCTCTCAAAGTAGTATTCCAGTTCATTAGTTTCATCAAAGAACGTCCATCAAAGTTATCAGTTCTTTAATAATGTTCTCAAAATCTTAGCACAAAAACACCATCTATACCATTTATGGAACTTTGAAATGTTTGAGAATGTCTAGAGAACATTCAAAAGTAATATTCCCATAATATATGCACAATTATAAAATGGAATGATCCCTTAACAACGTACATATAACCATGTTCAGAAAACATTCAGAAATAACATGTTCATAACTTCATGGGAACGTAAGCGAAATGTTTTCGAACATTTTTACCAGTTGCGCAGCACTGACTGAACATTATACATAAATAGCAACCTCTTTGGTTAGGTCACTCTGAAACAAACCACACATTTAGGTGGTGTGTGAAAAAGGAGGATTATTGGTAAGAAATGCACTTTTAGGTGTGACACCACTGTTAACCTGAGTTTATGCAAGCATTTCCTGTGGCAGATAGAGTAAGTCTAAGTAAGAGATGAAGGGAAATTTCTGTTGATGGCCACTCCTTGAAGGCACAGTTTAAAGTTTTAATACCCAAGGTGGAAGCGCTTCTATATTTTTGCAGGTCAACCCTGAATTTAGCATCCCGCTGGTTCCCTCCAATAGGATTTATCGATTGGCTTTTGGATAATCTTCACAAAAGAACACATCTTTAATGCATTTTGAAGCCTAAATACAACTGTCAGATGTAAAAAGCTAAACATAGGCCATAAACAAATTATGGTCATTCACTCTGCATAACCTGAGGCCTGCGCTTTTTTCTTCTTCTTCTTCTTCTTAAAAAAAAAAAAAAATGTCCCTGAAAGCTTGAGTTAAAATAGTTTCCAAGAATTACAAACACAATGAGGCTGCGGTGGACTAGTGAGTAGATGAATTTTCCAAACAAAAACCCATTCAAACATCCCATTGCCTTCCATTGCCGATGGAACCAGAAGTGCCAAAATGCTAACTTGTTTCCAAGTTTTGACCTACAAAAATGTATCATTTGTGCATCACTCTAAGACTTTAATATGAATACTTACAGTGCAGCAATACTTAGTAATAGCACATATTATAGCACACAGAATCTAGTCTCAGCCTCAGACGTCATGTCCTCGGACCACTAGCTGAACGTCTGATGCATATGACACACTTAACTGGAAACACTTCAGGATTTTTAAAGTCGTCATCTGATTGGTTGAAGTGTGTGTCGCGTTCTTTAACACTCAGCCCAGAAACAAAGATGCCATGAAGCCAAACTTCCTCATTGAAGAAGAATTTATCGGGATCAACTAAACGCTGGATTTTCAAAAGTATGTGAAGTATGTAAAGTTCACAGCATAGACTCTTTAAGCACATGAAATTCTAAACAGATTAACCAGCTTCCACATTTGATTAGTACACTTCCTTTAAGAAAAGCGCAACAGAATTTTCTGAAAAGGCTCTGGGCGATATCTCCCTCTCACCTGTCTTTGCCTTTTCAGCAAAAGTCCTGCTACAACCTGCTGCTTGCTGACTTGGCATGGTGTACAAACCCTAAACCTCAAGTGTAAAATCCCCAGATTAACCGACACCTTTAGTTTATCTACAGTACGGCTGTCATGCACATAGGGTGGTGGTCACTGAGGCCAGTCATCTTGTGACACGCCGTGGTGCAAGTGGTAAAACAGTCATTAGGGTCGAAGTTGTTTACATTATTGTCAGACCTTGAAGAAGCATGATAAAAACACCCACAATAGTTTGGTTATCGTGACGGCTTCACGATTACCATCCCAATGATCATTTTGAAATATGCATTTGAAAAACTTAAGAAAGTTTCTTTAAACTTTCTAGATGGTTTATTACATAAAAATTTGTTTGTATGTATGGAGGCAGATGTAAAAAAGCAGCACAATTTGTTCAATATCACAACACTTGTCAACCAGTTGAGTGAATTTGGAGTAGTACTGCCTATAGAATGTCTAAAGTAGACTATTGAAATAAAGTGTAAACCCATATTTTTGTTAGGTTGAACGTTTATCCCCCGCCAATCCCCCGCAATTTGCACGCGATAACACCCCGACCTGTCGGCGAGCTCAACGATTTGCAAATCTGCCTTAAATCGGGTTTAAAATCATGTAGTGTAAACTAGGCTTTAGAGAGATTTTTGCTGAGTTGCTTAAAGTTAGTTAAAGTCACTATGTTTGCATACTTGTGTAAAGTATATTTCTGGTTTTAGAATTTGAGAAATCGAGATATCCTAAGTTGCCATAAAGTTTCTTAATTTTTAAAAAGCAACTCAGAAACAAGACTATGATGCCCTAAACAGTGGTGGAGGAAGTACTGAATCTCAGTACTTAAGTAAAAGTACGAATATCCAGATAAATATTTACTTTAGTAAAAGTAGAAGTAACACAATGACAACAACCATACTTAAGTAAAAAGTAAAAAGTACCTGATTTTAAATGTACTTTAAGTATTAAAAGTAAAAGTACTTGCATAACAATTTGTTCTCTTAATGTCTATTTTTTTAATGATTAATAAAACATTTAATTCTAACTCATTCAACTTAATACTCCTATAATGATGTTCAATAATGATGGAGAAAAAAAATGTTGTCACCATTTCTGAAACAAGCTTGCAATTAGGCAATATAGCTACACATAATACTTTTCCTTACTATATGTTAATAACTATGTTTGGCAGTAAACGCGATTGATTTATGGTGTTATTCTGAACCTCGAGGCTTGCCATAATCCTAACCAAACATATATTACACAAAGTGCGTTTCCTATGCACGTAAAAACAAATTTTAGCGTATAAATTGCACGATAAACACACTGCGGGCGAGACGCATTTAGTGTGACCGGGTTGATATATCTATGGCAACCAAACGTCACTCACTGGTGAGACAAACGCGCAACGGAAGGACGGTCAAATTACGTTTTGGCAGGGGAAAAACTGATCAGAAAATGTAATGAAAATGTAACAGAAGTTGTAGAAATGTAGTGGAGTAGAAAGTATAATAATTGCTGCAAAATGTAACAAAGTAAAAGTAAAAAGTATGCACTATTTATTTTACTTAAGTAAAGATACAAAAAAAAAATTACTTAAGTAAAGTAACAAAGTATTTGTACTTCGTTACATTCCACCACTGGCCCTAAAGTACTGTCAGACGTGGAATTGAAGAGCATCAAGAGTGTGTGATTGTCTGGCTGATATGTGATATCCAGACAAACAGCGCTCTTTATGAACACAACTGTCAGTCTGAAGGTCAGGTACCAAATCTGATCTCTGGGTGGATCTTGTATACCTGCTTCATGTGTGTGATCTTCGGTGTGTTTTTGTTATGGGCTGATCGTGACAGACGCTGTTAGCATCAAAACTGCGAGACTCACACCATAGCCTCACCTGTTTGCTGTCCTCCTCCTCTTGAGCCTTGCAAAACTCCTGCTCAATGGAGCAGTCCAGCTCGCTGAAAAGACCCACCTCCTCACAGTTCTTCAAGAAGCGCGTTGGGGTCGGCGTCTGGTCTGGAAACATTCAAGCAGACAATACAGAATTTATTCATAATTACATTGACAACGGAATTCACTTTATGATGTCTTATATGATGGACATCCCTAAGCAACTTTGTGTTCAACTTTGTGAAGTGGACGAGGGAAGATTATGTGGACAGACCCTCGATTTTGACAGAGGGAGCGAGTCTACTTCATATGTACACTGCAGGCAGCTCCATATACCACAATGCAACACGATTGTGACGTCACCGCAGATCTCGTCTAATTATCACCACCACAAACAACTCTATGATATATTAATTATGATTTTTTTAAACAACCAAAAAACATCTATATACATTTGGATGCTGCATTAAACAAATTCTTAAAGGGATACTTCACCCTTTAAATTGGTCCTTTTAAAATAGGTAATTTATGTAGAAGAAATGTGAAATTATTTTTTGAATTTGGAGCTTTTTAGACTGAGAAAAGCCAGAAAATGTATTTTTGGCTTATGTGGATGAAAGACAACAACTCCCAGAATGCACTTGCTTCGCTGCCCTAGAAGGCCACACCTACCGGTAACAGAGCGTAGCAGTTAAACAACAAGTCTAGGCTACTAGTGAGTCTCCAACTCTGTGATGAGTCTGCCCGAAAATGTGTTTCGAGCTGTGGCGAGCTGGATGAGGGCCGTGTGGAGAACAACCGAGATTACCGATGAGCGACAGCTGTAAGACGCACCGGTCTCAAAATCTCTCATGGAGAAACAGGAATTTTCTTAGCAATGTTAAAACGCACATCAAGCGATCACTTGTTTAGCGTTCATATAAACGCTACATTCAGATTCACCAATCGGAATGAATTCAGTTAGATTGAAACAAAAGGTGTGCATGCATGTAAACAATGAATGGCGACTGCAAAAAGCAAAAGCTGAATCCCGGACATCGACGGCGGACATGTCAGGGAAAAAGAGGATGTAACCCCTTCTACTCCACAGAACAAGAGCCTGCTAGCTTAGCTTCCAAAAAAAGATGGCTGATATGTGTTCATTCTGTGAGTGAGATCGCACCCTCTATGGGCGGGGGGAGAAAATGCAGGACAGCCCCTACTACTGACTGTGGTCTTAAGCCTCTGGCCAATAAAATCCTCCGATGACGTCATCAGAGGATTTTTTTCCTGACAAAAAATACATAATTCTCTCAAATCTCTCAGGGAGATATGAGGGTGGAAAGCATGGTAACTTGAAAATACTACAGATTTTCTATTAATACGTAGCTTGCAATGACGCAAAAGTAAGCAATGACGTACATCCGAGTGAACTAGACGAAGGGAAGTTAGCAAGTGAAGGGCATGACAATTTTGGACTGGAACGCAACAATAGTCATGTGATCCTGCCATGTGTTCCCTTGTCTGATGTGTCATGCTATCATTGGTTCATTGTTTCATTGTTCACAGGTGTCCCTTGTCTAATCATTAGTCCTTGTGTATTTAAGCCCTCATGTGTCTTTGTCAAGTATTGTTTCACTGTAACCTCTGTGGGTTAGGTCCTGTCATGTTTTGTTCATGCCATGCCTTTGTTTTATGTTTGATCACATTTTGTAAATAAATTGCACTTGGGTTCTCTACAAACTTGCCTTAAGTGGTCCTCTTTTACGTAGATGTATTGACTAATGTTTACAAATGGGACCTTATTGTAAGGTTTTACCATGAAAAAAGTCAAGATCAAAGTCATGAGGAGCAACCAATAAGAAAGCAGGAAGTGATATCATAGAAAGGACTGCTAAAGAACCTTATGACTGTACCTCAACGTCAATATTCTTATATATATATATAATATAATATTCTTATAAATGATCAATTAGTTTTGTTCAGGTTGTAAAAGCTATTGTGATCATCCACTCCCCAGCCCAAAAAATATATATATTTTTTTTTAAATAATTGATCACATTCTATTTTTACTTAAAAAATTAATTTTTAAGTGAAAAAAATATATATAAACTAAATAAATATGCTCAATTAGTGAAGTCAACTCTGTATGAACAAAATTTTGTTTCTGTACATTCAACACAAGTTTGCAAGTTGCAAGTTGAACCCAAGCCAAAGAGCTAAATAAAGTCTTCTGGCGGGACCATGTGGTCCATGGCACTAGAATGCATTTCTAGCTGCATGCCGTGTCTCTCTCCACTCAGGCTGTGATTCTGTCCTCTTCATTATTTACCCTTGTCAGAGTGGCAGATCAGATTTCTGGGATCAGCTTTGGGTTTCTCACTCGCTCCGCATTCTTTTACATGCAGGCCCTTTTTTCAGTAACTCACTTGCTAACAAAGGTGCACATGCGTTCCTTCACTCACTACCTCTTATTTCCTCAGCCTCAAACACACTCCACTGAGAAATGACACACACCTCTTATTGAGTTAGTGGTGGGACGATAATTTCTATCCGCTACTGGAACCACATAGTAACTCATTATCTTGTACTTTATCAAACCCACAATGAATATTACAGTCTAGACCGAACCGCACATCCAGGACTCGAAGAATCCCATCATGGGTTAGTGTCTGCAGTATCTTAATAGAAGAGGATGAATGAAATGCATATATCATAAGAAATAAGTGTGTCCAAAATAAAAATCAGAAAAGAACCGTTTAAAATGCATGTTCTTCTATTCATAGCTTCATATGTTTATTTTATTTTATTTATTTTTTTTGACTGAAATCAAATAAAATCATGTGGTGTAACCATCAGTTAAAAAGTAACATTATTTTCAAAATAGAGTTATACTCATTCAATGAACTCATAAATGAACTCATAACTATATAATTTAAAAAAAGCACTTCATTTTAAGTTCAATCTAAAGGACTTGCATCTGTCATGATTCTGCCCTTGTCTTGAGGCAGGATCATGACAGATCCATGTTTTGTGTGCAAGCACATGGCCTTTTGTTTGTGTTGTCTTGTTACTTAAAGGAGTAGTTCACTTTAAAAAAAAAACTTTTGCTGATAATTTACTCACCCCCATGTCATCCAAGATGTCCATGTCTTTCTTTCTTCAGTCGAAAAGAAATTAAGGTTTTTGATGAAAACATTCCAGGATTTTTCTCCATATAATGGACTTCAATGGGAACCAAACGGTTCAAGGTCCAAAAGACACTTTCAGTGCAAACTGTTCAAAGGACTTTAAACGATTCCAGACGATGAATAAGGGTCTTATCAAGCAAAACGATCGCTCATTTAAAAATAAATATCAAAGTTTAAGTTTTATAAGGTCAAATGGTCGCCTTGCTCTGTTCTGTGATGCGCGTTCGTGACTCTCCTGTTCGAACTCGTTTATCAAAATGAACAAATCTTTTTTCGTATCATTTGGTTCATTCAACGAACTAAATAAACGAGTTGACTTGGGAAAAGATTAGTTGATTTTGATGAACGAGTTCGAACAGGATCGAGAGTCACAAACGTGCGTCACAGAACAAGGCGACCATTTGAGCTTATAAAACTTAAACTTTGTTATTTTTTTTTATTAAATGAGCAATAGTTTCGCTTGATAAGACACTTATTCATCGTCTGGAATCGTTTAAAGTCCTTTGAACAGTTTGCTGTTTGCACTGAAACTGTCTTTTGGACCTTGAACCATTTGGTTCCCAATAAAGTCCATTATATGGAGAAAAATCCTGGAATGTTTTCATCAAAAACCTTAATTTCTTTTCAACTGAAGAAAGAATGACATGGACACCTTGGATGACATGGGGGTGAGTGAATTATCAGCAAAAGTTTTTTTTAAAGTGAACAACTCCTTTAACCCCGCCCCCTTGTTCTCCTCGCTGTCATCATCAGTTTCTCCCATTTAATCTGTCCTGTGCTGGTTCATTATCTTACGGTTGTGAGTATCTTGTCAAGTGTATTGTCTAGATAAAGTTCTGATTCTGTTGCTGTTTGTTTATCGTTATAGTTATCTGTCAAGTCGTGGGTTTTGTTTTCCCTAGTTTTGTCCTTTAATAAACTGTGTGTCAAGCATCATCAATTTCCAAGTGCTAAAATGTGATACTTTTGTTCGGACAGTGTAGTCAGTATTCAGTGCATCTACATCAGTTGCTATGGTACTCATCAGCGTACATACGCATCAGCAGTATGACTGGTTAAGTTTGCCTTCACCAGCCATACTTTTGAAAGTTGTAGTCATTGAGGACAGAATATATATTGCCCTTTCTTTTGACCATAACGGTGCATGAGAATACACAACTTATTAATTACTGCATTAAATAGTTTATTTTGTGTTTGAAACTGCACATTAGTTCTCTCATTCGTAATTCACTAGTGAATGACACATGAGGCAAGAGAGAGCATCTCAAATTACAAAATACATGAAATCTAATCTGACCATGCAGACTGCAAGTCATTTACAGAAATCAGATTTTAACTGGATTTTAAACCAAATGATGGATGGATGGATAGATAGATAGACAGAGAGACTGTTTTGGAGTAGATGTGTTTATTGGTGTTCATTAAATCAGGTAGACGCATAAAAAAGGCTGACTTTTTCAACCAAGGCTGAGTAAACAACTTTGGTTAGTTATTGTACAATCTCTAAATATGCACCCTGGAATCCTCCACTTTTTTTATCATAGTTGTTGAGACTTATTTTCTTTTCTTCCCTCCCCTGTTCCCCCTTCCCCTCGTCCCCTGAGAGGGCCTGCGGTCTAATTGATATGGAGCTCATGGTACGGGTTGATGACTGGGATTAGGGGATTGAGGCAGAGCACAGCACAAATATTATTTTAGCCACATGGCTCTGCATTTAAAACTACACCTACGCATTTGCCAAGTCATGCGTCCTGCCTAATGCACCTAATCAAAGACAGACACTAAGAGGAGACTCACACATGAGCTGTGTGTGTGTGTGTGTGTATGTGAGGTCTGTCTTACCTGACAGCATGTTGTCATTTTTGATGGAGGGGAATTTGAGGGTCATCTCATGCTTGTGCCGATGAATCATTAGATGATCCTCTGTAGGGAATCTCTGGAGAACATGGAAACAACCGGTTGTGATTTAATAACTCTAAATACAATAAAAAAGCAGAGGCTTGTTTTCTTTCCATTGTGTGTTCTTGAAAAACAGAGAATCTTACAATTAGTGACTGTCAAGCGAAGTTACTTTGCCAAAGTTATATTTACCACCTTGTACAGCAGGACTGAGCCTTAGGCATAAACTGCCTATCTACCGATTAGAATAACAACCTTCTAATTGAAAATACCTTCTCATTATCATAATTACATTATCTTAATTGCTGTTTAAAAGCACCTGAAAGGTATATTGTGTCTGTAAATGGTCCACATGAACCAACGTGCTTAGACAGACTGTGACAGGCCTAGTCTAACTGTGCAGCAGTTCAAAGGAAAATAATGCTAAATGCAACTTGAAAAATAAATTTTATTGGATATGGGATAGAAAATGTATACTTTTAAAAAAGGCAGGGAAAGCACTTATAATTTCCTAAAGGAGTAGTTCACTTTTAAAAAAACTTTTGCTGATAATTTACTCACCCCCATGTCATCCAAGATGTCCATGTCTTTCTTTCTTCAGTCGAAAATAAATTAAGGTTTTTGATGAAAACATTTCAGGATTTTTCTCCATATAATGGACTTCATTGGGAACCAAACGGTTCAAGGTCCAAAAGACAGTTTCAGTGCAAACAGCAAACTGTTCAAAGGGCTTTAAACGATTCCAGACGATGAATAAGTGTCTTATCAAGCGAAACGATCGCTCTCAAAAAATTGAGAGCTTGATAAAACCCTTATTCATCGTCTGAAATCGTTTAAAGCCCTTTGAACAGTTTGCAGTTTGTACTGAAAGTGTCTTTTGGACCTTGAACCGTTTGGTTCCCATTGAAGTCCATTATATGGAGAAAAATCCTGGAATGTTTTCATCAAAAACCTAAATTTCTTTTCGACTGAAGAAAGAATGACATGGACATCTGGACACAAAATATGTGTTTTGCAATATGTAAAAAGTATATTTTTGTCAATTTGTCATATCAATATTTGTACATTTGTAGACCTAAGCAGTACAAGGTAATACTAATACTGTGACATTATATTGTAATATAATATTAATAATAATAATTCAAAGTACGATTTGTGTTACTTTTATATGATAAACAATTTTGTTGTTGCTATTATAAAGTCTAGGTCCTGAACCAATACGAGTTTAGAACTGGTTTAGTGTCAGTGAGATATACTATTATAGTTTTTAATCATATAAAATATTTACAATAATAATTATATAAATATATAAAGGTTTTTATATTTTCTGTTTAATTTCAATTTCACTTTTGGTCATTTTGCTGTGTGGTTTTGTCTTCTTTGTTTCATATATATATATATATATTGTTATTTTTGTAGGCTACATCAAGTTAAACAAAATGAAAATGAGAAATGTGCCTTTATTTGATTATTTCAGATGATTTTTGTGAACCAGAGTAATGGTGTAGCTAGAAGAAAATATGCATTAAGAGAGAGCTGATTTACTATATGAGGATTCCACCTCATCCAAAGAAATACAAAGCCAAGAATCTTATAAAGACCCAGTGGATTTCATTTGCATCAACAAGATAGCATTTCACTGTTGTTGTCTATGGTGCAGTTTCACAATAGCCGCGTTTCCACTGCCGGGCTAGGGCTGGGCCAGAGCTAACAGCGAGCCGAGCCGAGCTAGTGGCCTCGGGCCTCAAGCACCGGGCTTGCGTTTCCACTGCCGGGCCAGTAGCCCCACAGCGCTGCCCCAAACCCCACCCCTAACACGCCTTTCTGGATCAAACGTCATAAAACCCAACCCATTTCAGCGGTTATTATGAATTAATTTATTTTTTAAATTAGGAAGATAGCATTTATATTAACTCACCTGCCGTGGTGCCTGCAATAGTGTCACGAGACCAGTACCGGCGATTCTCTATCTCAAGCAGCGATTTTTTGCGCGATATAACAAGTAGGGCTGCGGGCACGTTTTCAAGTTTTTCATTAACCGAGTATTAACCGATGGGCCTCGGTTAACGGTTAACCATAGTGTGCGCGCCGCAACCTCGAGATACAGAGTTAATTTTTAACACCTTTAATAACTGATTGGACCCCATTTGAAACGAAATTAATTTATAGAAATAAAACGCAGCAAGTACGGAGCAGTTAAAGCCCATTTCCCTCACCCTTCAAACTGAAATTGCCAATTGAAAATAAGCAAAACGTCCATTTCACAAAAACTCCGTGTCTGCAAATAATAATAATAATAATAATAATAACCATCATCATTATTGTAACATTTTATTAGGCTGCATATGTAGAAGACGCCTTTATCCAAAAAAGGAACAGAGCACAAATAAACACAATATTTTTGACGCATATCAGCGCATATCCAGTGTGTGTGGAGCACGCACTGATGGCTGCGAGACGCCCATGTGAACACTTGCAGTTTCATTGCATTTCTTTCAGTGGAAACAACTTAAAATACTCTTTCATTTCTGGTCATACAGAAAATAATAATACATTATTCGCAAATACATTTATTTGCGTAAACTCACAATAACAAGAAAACGTTGTGCTTTAACAATTACTAATCAAGGCGCGCTTCATGATCTCCGTGAACTGAAGCGCGAGACCTGAAACAGCCACCGCATTCGAATTTGTTCGTTTTAAATTGGACATTTAAAGCTTTAGTCTACAGTAGATTAAAGCTTTAAATGTCCAATTTAAAACGAACAAATTCGAATCGAAAGCCAATATCTTCTGACTATGTAATTATGTAGCTAATTAATTTCTCTCTAAATGTGCATCCGGAGATAGAAATGTTTTTAGCCGAAAATGATTTAGAAAACAATAGTTTATTAATAAACAATTAATGCCTCGTTATTTTATATTATTTTATTATCAGACACATTTATTAAAGCCTATAAATCACCTATAAATCACCTTTCTGTAGGCTGTGGTTACGGCTCTTCTCATTCAGCACTGCGGGGAAAATATCATTTCCAGGTTCTAATTTGGCCTCAGAAAACCAGTAAAATATATATATTTTTCATATTAATTTTTCAAATATTTTAAATGTTTAAGGGGCAAAAAAAATCAAACAAATATCTGAAAATTCGTCGATATGTAGCCTATATATAGCCTATATATTTTTGCGCAGCATTTGGCATAGGCCTACAGTTCAAATTAAAATGTTATGCAATTTTAAACGGTTAATAGGTTAAACATGGACACCCCTATGTGCATCTTGCTTCAGATCATAACGTTCCATAACACCGATAAACTCCGCCTTTTACCTTGAGCACGCCTCTAGCCCGAGCTGGCCCCCTCTGGCCCAAGGTATTCGACGGGCCAGAAATCCTGGCCGTTGGCCCTGAGGAAGCCCCGATCAAGCCCCGGAAGTGACAGTGGAAACGCGACTGGCCTGGGCACGCACTAGCACGGCCCGGCCCTGGCCCGGTAGTGGAAACGCGGCTATTGAGAAGGAGCTTTCTCGAGTTACAGGACCGTTCGTCTTTGCCATTGTCTTATCAGACTCACCTGAGAGCAGCCCGGGGCAATGCACACGAACGGCCTTTCCTGCTCGGAGTTCATCACTGTCACTGGCTCCTCATATACCTGAACACAAAGCAAAGAAGAGAAATTCAAATCAGGGGCGCCTCCAGGACTCAGACCAGCATAAAGACCCGCTCAGATGATGTCACTAATGTATCGTGTGCCAGTGACAGCCAACTCCGTGGTTCCCGAAGAGGCTTTGACGGAATCTCAGTGAGTATTCGGTGTCTAACGCCCTGGGAGAGGGCATTAGGAGTTGTGAAGGTTTAGGCTAAAACTGACCCCTGAAGTGTCACCCTGCTCCTTCGTCGCCATGGAGCCGTTGCTGACCACAGGGTAAGGTGTAAACTATCCTCCCTGTATTGTGTACGCAAGTGTGTGGCTAAACCCAGACACACGGCTCCGAGGTCAGGGTATCAGTGGTTAGCAACTCTTTTGACACCTAAACTGCCCTGTTAATACTTCACCATAGCAGTTTGTATTAGATGGGTCGATGACAGTTAAGAACGTCCGAGAAAAAGCATATAGGAAGCATCTTTTCAAAATTTAGAAATGTATTCATGTTGGCTTCACATTGTTGTGAAAAATGTTATACAATTTATTAACTTTATAATTGTAAGTATACATGTAATAAAATAATTTCCTTACACATTGTACACATCAAAAAAGTATTTTTATGATACACTGATGCAAAAAAAAGTGTATATAAATTAGGGCTGTCAAACGATTAATCACGATTAATCGCATCCAAATGAAAAGTTTGTGTTTACATAATATATGTGGGTGTACTGTGTATAATTATTTTACATATATATATATATATATATACATAAGTACACACACAAGCTTGTATACAGTTAAGAAATATTTTCATGTATATACTGTATATAGAATATAAAATTTATATTATATATAAATATAAATATTATATCAATAAATAATATTTTTTTCTTAAATATGCATGCATGTGTGTGTGTTTCTATATGCAAAATACACAGTGCACCCACATATATTATGTAAACACAAACTTTTATTTTAGATGCGATTTATCGCGATTAATCGCTTGACAGCCCTATATACATAAATACTTCACTATACAAGATAAATCATACATTATGCTTAGAGGCATAATTTCATTTAAGTATCAAAAATATAGGATTTAAAAATTTATATAAAATGTAAATATATATACTCTTTATTATAAATATCAGGATAGTTATACAACACTTACATTTTTCATATTTTAAGTTCATACTATATATAAGCATTTAAATATTACGGTTTTGGGGTATTTAGCCTTTTTTTATATATATATTTTACCATCTGGATTGTATCACAACTAACCTGGCCATGTCAAAGGTCAAATGATCTGGTATTTTAAAAGACCTATCGATCTTGACACAAAGTCATGGGGGTTTTCAGAGGTCATCTTTATTATATAATTTACTATATTATGATATTTATATTTATAATTTTCTGTATTATATTTATTATACTTTTTTTCAAAAATATAATTTGTGTTTTTTTTTTTTTCTAAAAAATAGCAATAAAAGATTATGTAAAGCTACACAATGATATATATATTAGGTCGCTTAGGTCGCGAATCGCGATTAATCGCATCCAAAATAAAAGTTTGTGTTTACATAATATTTGTGGGTGCACTGTGTATAATTATTTTTTATATATATTAATACACACACATGCATGTATATTTAAGAAAAAAATATTATTTATATATAAAATATTTATATTTATATATAATATAAATTATATATAAATCTATATACAGTATATACATGAAAATATTTCTTAAATGTATACAAGCATGTATAGATAATAGATCTGGAAAAAAAAGAGAATCATAACCCAGGTCAGTTTTAAAGTCAACTGTTATGGTGAAATACAGCTGCCTCTATCCAACGGGGTTGACAATGTGTGGAAACACAGCAAACTGACAGGCTGACAAATTACAGAGAGGGCAATAAAGTGTAAAAATGTTTCATTACAATGACAATGACAAAACTATTTCTAGTGTCCGTTTCACAGTGGTGATTACATTTCAATGGCAAATCTCTCTCTCTGTTACAGCTCACCATGAGCACTGGAATCCCTTGTTCAGTGCCATGATGCTGCTAAATGCCATGGATGAAAGACTGACAATGGAATGGTATGCCAGTCATTCAGTTTCACGCACATGGAGTGTGACAGAGCTGCTCCTCTGATGCTGATGGGACGTACTTTACCATGCTTTTCTTATGTGGGCCCACGCTGAGCCCTCTGCCACTGTCGCCAAGGGGATAAGAGTGCGATTCTGTGGAATATATCAGGCACCAATTGTGCTTTATTCTCATTCTATTCAACGGGTGATGATCTATGGGAGTCTGGGTGTTTGATTCTGACTCTTCTGATTAGTCAACTGGGGAAACACGTTGTGATTGGTCAACCACTTCTAGCGTGTTTCGGACATGTCCCGCCCCTTTCCAGGCCTCAGATTCTGTGCGGGCCTGATTATAAGATGGCAACAAATGCTTATGACTATTTTATCGCAACAGCGAAAACACTGTATTTGACTAAATTTGGCTGCATGTCATGCATCACAGGTGATGATCATAAACTTGACCAACGTTTCTAACACCTGTTTTGGGAATTTTACAGCACCCTTATGTAAGTTTTGTGCAAAAGAGTAACAGTATTATGGTCTACAACAGCCTAATGAGACACAGCTGTAATAGTCCATGACAGCCAGAGTCGAGTCCCCTTCATATACAGCAGCAAAACAGACTAATGACTGTGGCTACGTATTGACACACCGCTTAGACAACAAACACTTTCCAAATGTGTGGAAAATAAACACGTTCAAAACTTTGAAAGATGAAAACATTAAGAGAAAAGCATGAATTCAAATGCTTCAGACTTGGATATACATGAGCCCCGCTGTGTGAGCGCTTTCATACACCATTTGCATGTGCATTTGTTTTTCCCTGTCCGATTGGTCCAGTCAACTCAACTGTTTCCTCCCATGCAGTCAAAACATGCAAATTTGCCGTTATATTAACCAGACATCTTTTCCCTCACAGTCCGGCCTTGGGACAGAGCCCCTCCAGGCGCGGCCCTTGGGGACACATGGTCTGGACAGGGTGTTCCTGAAAGCGGACCGACATCAAGAACACGTCTGCTAAATGACAAGTCACTAACACACAGCTCTCAGCTCTCAGTAAGTTGCGCCTCCAAGTCTATACCGCATCGGTCTTATTTCCCTCTCACTTTTTTGATTGTCTATTGCTATTTAAAAACAGTCATTTTGGCTGTTCGATATTCAACCTTTCAAGCGCCTCTGTCACTAGATGAGATTGAACACTTTTGCCAGAACTATTTTTGTTCAAATAAAAAGACAGATCATCTAAAAAATGTAGTCATCATTTACTCACCCCTATGTCACTGCAAACCTGTTTACTAATTTTTTCACAGAACACAAAATAATATATTTTTGAAAAATCCTGGTAAACAAATTTGGTCACCGTTGACCTTCATTGAATGGACAAGAACACATTGAGACCTTTTTCAAAACATTTTAAAGGAGTTGTTCACTTTTGAAAAAAACTTTTGCTGATAATTTACTCACCCCCATGTCATCCAAGATGCCCATGTCATTCTTTCTTCAGTCGAAAAGAAATTAAGGTTTTTGATGAAAACATTCCAGGATTTTTCTCCATATAATGCACTTCAATGGGAACCAAACGGTTCAAGGTCCAAATGACAGTTTCAGTGCAAACTGTTCAGAGGGCTTTAAATGATTCCAGATGATGAATAAGGGTCTTTTCTAGCAAAATGATTGCTCATTTAATAAATAAATAACAAATTTTAAGTTTTATCAGCTCGAATGGTCGTCTTGTTCTGTTCTGTGGTGGGCGTTCGTGACTCCCCTGTTCGAGCTCGTTCATCAAAATGAACAAATCTTTTCCAGAGTCAACTTATTCATTTCGTTGGTTGAATGAAACAAATGAAACGAAAACATATTCGTTCATTTTGATAAACGAGTTCGAACAGGAGAGTCACGCACACGCATCACAGAACAGAGCAAGGCGACCATTTGAGCTTATAAAACTTAAACTTTGTTATTTTTCTTTTAAATGAGTGATCGTTTTACTTGATAAGACCCTTATTCATCGTCTGATATCGTTTAAAGCCCTTTGAACAGTTTGCACTGAAACTGTCTTTTGGACCTTGAACCGTTTGGTTCCCATTGAAGTCCATTATATGGAGAAAATCCTGGAATGTTTTCATCAAAAACCTTAATTTCTTTTTTTTTTTTTTAAAGTGAACTACTCCTTTAAGGGTTTGGAACAACATGAGAGTGATGATGTAAATGTAAATGATAATGAACTATTTCTTTGAGTAAATTTATTTAACATTTTACTTGATTTTCTCTATATCACAAATTGACCGTATCATCTTTTGACTCTTCTCTGAAAAGGAAACTCGTTTCAGAGGTGAAGTCATAATATTTTACATATTTATCCAAAGCGACTATAGCATTGGATTAAAGGTTTTAAGATAAAAAGTTCAGAATAACATCATAATTTTGGATATTAGATATTCAATAGAGTAGCTTAATTTATTTGAACGTGATAAAAAACATTATCTGTGAATTGTACCATAGTGTCACCTGTAAAATAAGACATTTCTGATAAAAATGAAAAACCTCTATATGATCATTACATTCCTTCCCTCTTCGGTTAAAATTAACCCGGCTGACGGAGCGATTTGCACTGAGTTCCTCATATTTTATATCAACTATAGAATCAGTTTTATCCGTTCCTGCTTGCACTGAAAATTGAACCCATGATAGTCGTTTAGATGAAACCAAGCCCAAACCTTTTTTTTTTCTTTAGAATAAGGTGCACAGATAATTCATTCAAAACAAAGAACCATGAATGTGTTAAATACGATTTGTTTGATTTCATGTTGACTTTAACAATGCGCCTTTATAGTGGGGAACATGTTTCTCTGTCCTTATCTAGCCTTAAACTTTACAAACTTCTCACCGTATCAGTCAAGATTTGAGAATGTATTGTAATTATTGTAAATATGCTGTGTCCTCAAATATTATGAGACCTTGTGATATCATCTGGCATAATTCCAAAAGCATAACCAACAGTGCAACACAATCAGACGCCTGCAGCCATATTCCATATTTCCACTATGCATGTTCTCCAACATGCGAAATCCGCACTACAAAGACTGTCATCAAATCTGTTCATTCAAACATAGGATTATGCACTTCATTCATTTTGATGAAAAATATTACCGTATCATTTCCACCCTCCAGCAAGTCTTTTAGCCACCTTAACTGCTCAAGATTCCCATGTGACACAAGACCAGGTGTGAGATGTTTGCTCACCGGTGGTCATACACTGCTTGGCTTTTATTTCACCGGTGTTTTCATTTAACACAGGAAATTTCGTTACACTTCAAATTTAGAACGGCCCGATGTGGCAGCCGAGGAGGATTAGGGGACCGGAGTACAGTTTCAGAGGAACTTTCTTCATTTGAATTCAAACAGTGTGGTGCACAGGCCGAGCGGAGAAGGGGGGTGGTGAAGGTTACAGCAAGCACAAACTTGCACCGCAATTCAAATCCAACCTCCAACCTCCCACCCCCCGTCTTGCACAGGCCTTCGGCAGAAAAGGTTCAAGGTAGGATCAGCTCAGGGCCCGGGGCAGGGAATAAGAAACATATAGACAATGCAAAGGATGCCATAAACCTCCCTTAATGAACAGACGAAGGGGCCCAACAAAGGCAACCTTCCATCACTGTCAGTCATCACATCTTCTCAAACATAAACTCACAGAGACCAAGAGAACTTAGGGCTGACTTTGATACCAGAGGTGCAAACATTTGAAATGTGAATGTTGTATATCAGAACGTTGCTGTTCTTCAGTGAACAAAAGAGATGGCAATTTGTTATTAAAATTTATATCAAAAACTTTTGAATTGCCATGTTATCACATCACATATTATAAGGCATTTAGAATTTCATATAGTATAACTCTAGTTATATGTAATTCACTTTATCAGCCAAATTAATTAAACTGGAGAGGGAAGGAATGTTTAGTCAATATAGACATTTTTTCTCAATAGTTTTTTTTTTTTTTTTTTTCAATTTAGATGTGCTGGTAATACTTTAGCTTATGGTCCAATTCTCACTATAAACAAGCTGCTTATTTGCATGCATTTCTAGGATATTGTCTTAGTACTTATAAAGCATATACAAATGCCGATACATCCCTTAATCCACAATACCTAAACTTAACAACTACCTTATTATGTATTAATAAAGCATAGGAGTTTATTTAGGCAAAAGTCTAGTGAGACTTGGACCCTAATCTAAAGTGTGACTGATATGTCTTGTTTCACAGCTGACAATATGGTGCATTTCACAGATAATAGTATTAAGTTCACATAAATCAAGCTATAAGTTGAATATCCAGTTATTTGCTCACTCTCATGTCATGTTATTCCGAACTTTTATGACTTTCTTTCTTCCATGGAACACAAAAGGAAACGTGTAGACAGAATGCAAAGACTGCCAGCCTCAGTTGCCATTCACTTTCATAGATTCTTTTTTTTTTTCTTTTTTTTTCCGTAATTAAAATGACTGGCGCTGTCATTTATTGCATCTCTTTTTGTGTTCCAAAGACACTAATACGGTTTGTATCAACATGAACGTGAGTAAATGATAGACTTTGAACCCGTTCAACCTCCAACCTGGACAATGTGATGGAATAACTGTAATCTATTTTAATGTTCCTCCGTGTGAAGATGAACTGTAGGCTAATATACGATTGTTTTGCTATACTTTCTTACAAACAAACATTTATTTTTGTTTTAATGAAAAGAACCCAGTCAAACGTGTCAGTGGATTCAAATCTTTTAAGCATTTGGGCTTTTAGAAGAGAGTTTGCCTCGTCAGCACAAACCGCTGAAACCCTCAATATCTGGACGGTTAATCAAAGTCTGACTGGCCTGCATTATGACGTCATGCGTCGAAGCATTGCTTTTTTGTTACAGTGTTAGAAAATAAAACCGTGTGATTCAGTGCAAAGATTCAGGCGTGCAGGCTTTAACTCGCCCCTTATAAAAGAGCGGACTGGGACTCCTCTGACAGCCGCGGGAGCTCTTGTCGAAACGGGAAAACTCTGAGGTGCAGACGAAAGAAGTTCCTCAGTAGGCCTATGTATATCTGCTTGTTGATGAATGAAACAAAACAGGTTCAACGCTACAAACTAATTCTCTATAACAGACCGCTTCAAAGGAACAATGCAGAACACTTGTGTCACACAGCGCGAAAAGGACGGTGGCAAGCCATATAAACACTTATTCATTTAAACCAATTTACTAATATACAGGCTACATATGTGTTATTAGCCTAATCTTATTTAAGTATTCCAATAGTGAAGACTATTTTATGCTATGTGTGTATTCCTTGCTTATTTTAAAATCTATCCCATTGTTAGCTACAGGAAATTAGTTATTTTGCCAATGGATTCTTTTTGGATATGGTTCAAATATCAATTCATATTATAGTGGCCCCTATCTAATTGTACTGTAAGTATACTGTTTCCAGTAACTATTTATTATTACATTTTGTAAGTTTTAAAATCTAATAATATTACCAAAGGAGTACAAATCTAGCAATAGCTACTCCTATCACTGTAAAAATATATATATATATATTTTCAAGATTTATCACAACATTTTTTCTTTTGTCAAATCAACTTAAATAATTTATTTAGTTCAGATAACTTATTACTTTGAGTTTCTGATGATTGAATCATCTCCTTCATTGTATTAACCACTTTTTCCAGTTCAGTCAACTTAAAATTTTAAGGCAACCAGGTTATTATTTTTTTAAGTTAAACCAACAATATTTTTAAGTAGCGTTAGGCTATCTATTTATGACACACTAGGCTACTGATCTCAACTGTAAAAAAATATGATCAATATGTTATGACAAGCTATGTTTTTACATAGCTTTAACTCAAAATAAATTAAGCAATTTCAACTTTTTATGTTATACAAGATTCAACAAATTTTAAGACATTGTAGGTTGAAGTTTAACTTTCAGTTGAAATAACTTAATAACTTCTTTCTGCATTATCATATTCACCAATGCATACGCATAGTTAATGACAGATATTTAACTAAAAAATGCTGTCAATGAATATAAGTGGAATTAATAAATATATAGCCCCGACTACTAATTATGAATAAGTACTAGTAACATAAAAATGAGTTCGTTAGAGGAATAATTGTTAAAACAGCTTGCCACACTTGCACATACAAACACATGCACGCACAAGTAAAAACTGTAGAAACACATCGTGTTTGACAGCTTCATGCACGCAAACTAAAAACTACCGACCCCGCGTAAAGTTTTGCACAATACAACGACTTAAGTTAGAGAGCAGAATCCAGATTAAGCTAGCTGTTTAATGCGACACGATCCTTTAACGCGCAATTTGGTTAAAGACAGTGCGCAAAGCTGTTACATGCAAACAATCCCTGGAGATCCGAAAACAATCAATCATGTTCCGCGTGTTTACTTTCCTGCATGAAGCGCGAACGACTTCACGCGCACAAACTGAGTCTGTAAAAGTACTTGGAATCTGTTAATGTGAATCCTTAACAACTTGTCACTTCTTCGGGCTCAAGAGAATGACTCTTTCAATGGCACCGACTCGTCAAGTGCATGTGAATGCGAAGGAATGGATGTATCGGCATGAAAAACAACTCAAACAACTCACCGCAGAAGTCTGGAGAAGATGCAGCACACTTTCTGAAGGAACCACGTTGGACTGAGGAAAGATTACAATACGATCTATTTAGAGAAGCATTACATCACCCTTTGGTGACGTCACGTGGGATTCCTGAACTTCTAAATCATTGCAGTCCCTCGTAGAGGCGGGGCGAGAGGGGCAGGCGGGGCGGGGCCATGGCCAGTGGGTGTGGCAACATCAACATCTGTCTGACTTCAACTTGTTATTGTTGTTCGCATGAGTCATAAACTGCTGTTGTTAAAAAAAAGTGTATGCTACATGATCATGAGATATAAATGCACATTATTGGCACTGTATTAAACAATTAATACAGTTTTGGTAAATTGTTATAACACTATAATTACATACATTTTTATTATTTTGAATTTTGAACACTGTTATATTGTACAATGCTTGAAAGATCATTAGTTTATATACTTTCAAATACTGAATTTTTCATTTTCACATATTATAAACAACTGACCTGTTTAAAATGATATGATGCTGATGACTTCTCATGACGTTAATACATGGTTTGATTTACATGTTTTGGAAAGGAGAGATGACTAAAGACACCGAACATCTCAGCTCAGTTATCCAGGTCTGTTAATTGTGCACATCTTGCCGGTACCTCTGTGCTTACTGAATAATGAAAGTATCATGGGTAAATAAATTATTGGCTGCATGGATTATGTCTGCCTGCAAGTGTTGAATTTAGAAGATGGTGTTACAGAATCAAAGCTCTGACTTCTTGTCTGCCGATAATTGCCAGGCAAAGGTAATGCGACGCAGGTGGCATCAAAGGACAAACAAACTAATACCTTTGTTTATTTCTGTGGCATTCGGTTGGCCTACTTTCTCTGTAAAAAAAAAAATATATTGTTGGTTTAACTTAAAAAATTAAGTAACCTGCATGGCTGCCTTAACTTTAAGTTTATTGAAATTGAAAAATTGAGTTAATACAATGAAGGAGATTGATTTAATAATCAGAAACTCAAAATATTATGTTATCTGAACCACATAAATTATCTAAGTTGATTTGACAGAAGAAAAAAACATAATGATAACAAATCATGATTTTTTTTTTTTTACAGAGAACTTAAAGAATTCACAAGGTGCGCAAATGTTGCATATACGTACAATAAAATAATTACACTGTAAATGATCAACATTTTTAGACAACATATGTTTTTTACATTGTATTAAGTCATCAAAATAAGTTAAAGTCGGCATGAAACAGAAGTTGAGATGAGTTGAGTTGTCATTTTTTCCTTGTTGTGACGTATATCCAAATGAAACGGCTTCTGAAATTAGAAAAAAGGTAATGTCTTTGATTAAAGATTATAAGGGTACATGATTTTTTTTTTAAAATAACAAGGTGCACAGATTAATCATTTATAATAAACACTACAATTTTACATATAAAAAGAAGATTTGTCAAATTTGATTTAATGCCAAATTTTTTAAACTTTTGTAGAAGTCATACAAGATTAAACTCAAAAAAGTCAGTTTAATGTAGTTTAAGTTGAAATGACTAAAACATCCAAGTTGCTTGTACTTAAAAATTTAAGGTGGCAACTTTTTTTTTCTTTTACAGTGAACCATGAATAAAAAAAAGAATTAAATATAATAATGTAAGATTTTAAAATACAAAAAAAAGGTTAAATAAATCCTCCAATTCTAACATGGCTATTCTGACTATTTTACGTTTTTAAAAGATTCAAATGATCCGTAGATGTCATTCAAACATTTTTGCTGGGGTGGGTTTTAAGGTTAGAGCTGGGGTTACAGGAGGGCCTTCATGCTATTACCTTTTTCTAAAAATCATACATTTTTGTACAATTCACATCATATGTGTTGTTACATCATTACCACCTCATAAAATAGGTTAATTCCCATAGCATGACTTTCAGAAACGCATACTGACTAATGAGCCCAAACATCCAAGAAACAGTAATAGAGCTATTAAAACTATCCTAGAACTATTAATCGAAAATACTGTCAGTGCATTTTTCCTACAAAAGACAGTATAGCAAAGAAAATGGTCATGAGGTTCATCATAGCTGTTAAACTGACACGTCAGCCATAATAGGGCAAAAATAAAAAGAGTCACATGCGGCTGAGAGTAGACAGAGTCACAACCTTTCAAGCTTTAGTGAATGTGCTGGAGGCGGCAGTGTGATTTCTGATGCCGAGGGTACACTGGAGGAGTCTGGGATTGCTTGGGCGATTAATGACTGTCTGCTCCTCGGAAAGGGGCTGTTTACAATGAGCCACCCGTGCTAAGAGCTCTGTCACGGGAACAATAACGCTATAGCCTCAACTGCTGTCATAACTCAGACGTTTCACTTGCCTGTGTCTTTTAACCTGGGCCTTAATCAAAGCTTTATGACAGTTTTTGTTCCTTTATGGTCTATATATTTCTCCCGGCGATCCAGACATCATCCCATGGGAGAGCTGTGCAGTAAGTGGCATAAGTGCACAGTCAGTATTGGGTCACTGACCCCACACTTTAAAGGATTTTATCTCTAATGCATGGCAGGTTAGTCTGTCCCCAAACGTCTTGCAGGGCTGAATTTAGGAAGGAGGTGAAAAAGTGACATTTTATTGTCAGGTCTAATTGAGTTTTTTTTTTTTCTTCTCAAATAAATATTTGATTTACACTACCGGTAAAAAGTTTGGAATAATTAAGATTATTTAAAATTATTTTTTTTAAAGAATAATGCTCACCAAGGCTGTATTTATTTGATCAAAATTCAAAACAGTAATATTGTGAAATATTTCAAATGAAATTAAAAGATAGCCTATTTAAATTAATCTTTTTCAAGACTAAAGACTGAAGAAATAGCTGTTCTGCCACCATATTTTAAAATAAATACACATAGAAATAGTTATTTTAAATTGCAATAATATTTTACAATACTGCTGTTTTTACTGTATTTTGTTTAAATAAATACAGCCTTGAATTCTTGCAAAAAAAAAAAAAAAAAACATTTTAAAAATCTGAAACATTCCAAACTTTTTTTCAAACCAGTTGTGTATATTCAGTCAATTGGTTTGACATTTTATAGTTTAGGTTTAATCTAAATGAATATATTTGTTCTCTTAGTGTTTATTATATAACTTAGTTAAAAAATGTATTTATTTGCTTTACATTTTCTTATTTTGTGATATTAACCAACAAAACCGCACATGCCGTATCCTTCATGCGCCATATAATCAGTCATCATGGCAGATTACACTCAAGTTACCTGAATGATAACAAATTCACACGTAAGATGTCCGATCCCAGGAACTGCAAGTGGAGAACAAGACAGCTGAAACTAACTGCAATTTGACATCAGAGCGTTGATTCACATTAGACAGAAGAAAACCTCACCCAAAGTGAGGTTATAGGCGACAAACACATCTGTGAGATGTGTTCAATCAACTCTTTGACTTGTCATTGACCTTGGACCAGATTCACCTTTGATTGTGTGAACATGTCCAACAACAGTTAAATAATATTCATAAGATTCACTGACACAGTTAGGTGACGCCTTGGGGGTGAGAATGGGCTGTTATATGCATAGGCTTTTGTCTTGTAAAACTATGCAAATTAGAAGATAAACTGCACTTTTAGAATAAAGATTATAAATATAGAAGGGTTTTCCTCTTCATTCATTGCATTATTTTATTATTTTAAGTGGATTCACTTATTAAGGGGTTTTGCCTACTTGTTATTTATTTATTTGTTTATTGCATTCTTAATTGAGTCAGTACTGTGTGTGTGTGTGTGTGTGTGCGTGGCTTACCATGACTAACCATGATATATATGTATTATAAGAACTGTAATCTGATTTTGATAGCTGCTTGACTCCAGTATGATGTCACAATTCAAGATCTATTTTACATTCACGTGAATGCAACTAAAAGTCAAATGCATGTCTCAAAGAGGTTTGAACGATTCTAAGAATGATCAAGCAAGGAAGTGGATTGGCTGTTTGATCTTCTTAACGGAATGTTCCATCTTCTCATGTCTTGAAGTGCCTGCAGGGATGGAAATGTTGATGTATATACAGCTTGGTATGATAACACATGCTTTCTCCCCCAACAAAGCTCATTGTTTTGCTCAAAGTGGTGATCTACAACAGAAGAATTTAGAAAGAAACTTATTATATGATGCCCTGCACTTGATTATAATGTCAGAGGGAGGGATGTCATGAAGAAATTTCACTATGCTGGGCACTATAAGAGGTCATAGATTCTGAATCTTCAGAGGGTTTTTCACCTAAAAAAGGTTTTTAAAAGATAAAAAGATTAACCCTTGGCCATTCTGGTTTTTGATTTTGACCCAACGTTAATAATATTAAAGTATTGAGATGTCATGCTTTACATTCACAAAGCATGGGTTAATGTTTACATATATGCGATGTCTGTTTCATTTATTAGACAAACACGTGACCTTTAAAGTCGGCATTAAATGAAAATTCACCTATTTTCTTGATGCATGTTATCTTATTATGATCATCATATATATTTGATACATATATGAAAATGATTGACTCTCTGGTGAAATATGCATGTTTCTGCACAACATCTGCAAAGTTACGACGTTCAGTTCAATGCAAAGGAAGATGATTTCTTTTACAAAAAATTTAACTTGTTGACATCACACAAACCCTAAAATGTACATAAATCCAGCCCCCGGGAACACGCAACAATGGGGGTAGAGGAAGAGTTGTTGTAGCCATTTGTACCCCACCCGGAAAAAGTTGAAGAACCTGGAGAGGTTAAAATGTATTTTTAACACTGTTCCTGAACATTATAACCTCAACGTTTGTCCCCGCTGCACATTTAATGGAGAACAACTTCCAGTAGAGATGCATGCTATAGCCTACACACAAAAGTTTCTCCTGGAAGACGTAGCCATTCCCATTTTGTTGGGACAATCTGTTGTTTATGGATCACATTGTAAGTAAAGTACGTCTCATTTGTAGCTGTGTTTTCTATTAACAGTTCCAATCATAAGTTTTATGTAGTTGCTATGATAGCTATGATGTAAACAAAGCGCAACGCTTGCTTTCGCTAGCTTGCTAACTAACATTACAGGATTGATGTGTTTACTTTAGCTTTTGTAAGCTCTTGCTTTTGTAGGACTGTTTTGTGAACGATTACTTTTTGTATTACCACAGTTTTCCAACAAATATGATTAAATGGAGGATAACATTGTATTTATAAGAAAATTACAAAAAATATAGCAATCTGAAACGTCCTGTTAAATCTGTGCTTACAAAGTCTGTGCTTGAAATCTGTCCAATACAATCCTCTTGTTCGTTAACATTGTCAGGGTCTGAATCGGGTTTGAAAAAATTGACGGCATCGTTACTGTTTAAATCTCACTAGATCTTGCGGTTTTGGAGGGGTGTGACATTTCCTACATGCCTAACCAATCACAACCCTTTTCGTATTTTGGAAGGCGGGGCTTCATCAAAAACGAGGTTTGAATCAGACTGGGGAGAAAGGAGCTGTAATAGTGTAAAACATGCGAGAAATAATGCGTTTTTTGAACAATCAAGCATGAAAAAAATCAAGACTTCGCAAAAGTGTATAATTTAAAGCAATAGCCAATCACCTGGGTATTAGGAAAAGTGTAAGCTACAATACCTATTAGAAATTTATAATAAGCCATCGGGTAAAATAAAACCAAAAACCTTGTGATCTCAAAACTTGGCAACCTTTAGACAAATACTGTACCACACTCAAGCGTTTATAAACCACACAGTGCATTATAATAGGCCTACTATTACCAACAGAAAGTGCACTAACTGTTTGAAGTGGAACAATGTAGCTATTACATAATGAACGACAGGATTTGTGAGTAGTTTATACAGTATGACTGCAGTGGTGAGGCATGATGCCATGTGCGTCAAGTTCTGCGTTTTCCGTTGCCAACGAGGGAACTTGGGAAGGCCAGTATGTCTGAACATTATGTCATTTACTTCCTTAATGAGGTCTGGGGGTTTACGTTTGGTAACATTAGGAGACCGAATTACACTTTGTGGACCTTTGAAATCTAAATATTCAATTGCAGAGTCTTTACCCTATCAGTCATCACATATCTATTTGTGTGGTCTTGAACCAGATTTATTGTACCCCTATAGTTAAATAATTTGTATCCCTTTAAAAAAATCATATTTAATCACTAAAATTACATATTTAATTTTTTCCCTGTAAAAAACATCATTCATCCCTTAATTGCTTGAATGTAACTCTACACCCTTGCTTTATTTAGCATACGCAGATTTATTTGACTAATAATTTGCCATGCACAGCCTCCACTCACTCATATGGGTCGTATTCATCTATATACAACATCAGAACATGCATGCAATTTTTTTTTAAAGTGCGAATGAAGCTCCAGGAGGAAAAACCTTTTCATTCTTAATCAGAGGCTCAAACTGACAAAAATACATATAACATGGTGCAGTTGTCGATATTTATATGGCCAAAAACATGAAATTCTGATGCTTGTAATGTAAATCAATGAGATCTTTATAACATTATAGACATAAAATGCATTGCATATAAATACAGTCACCAATCCCAATCTTAAAAAAAAAAAAAAAAAAAAAAAAAAAAGTGGCCTTGAGCAATAGAATCTGAATCTCATCAACAATCGCAAAGTCTTTGGCTGACAACTGACCATCCAATCAAATTTGACTATTTGCAGAATTGAAAGCAAAATTAAAGGCCGTAAGATCTGGAAAGCCTCAATGATGTAATGCTTTCACAGACATGTCCCATGGCGAGTTCCAGCGCTGGAAAAAGCAGGCCGATCAGGGTGCACAGCTGCCCATGCGCTCTGCTGTGGTGAGTTAGTACATGGGGCCCAACCCAACAAGGACCCCATTACACAGAACCGGGCACAACACCAGCACCAGCAACTTCTGCCAACAAACGTGAGCAGGAAATCATGGAAAAACAGAGGCGGCGAGAGGGTGGGAGAGAGGGATGAAGCACATGGATGTGAACGCGAGTAAGAGGAAAGAAAACAGCAATAATGTAGTCCACACCACTGGGGCTCTCTATTACTGACGGAGAAACACTATAGTGATCGAGTCATCTGTGTGACCGCACGGCCTTTTATAGCCTTTCTGACATAAATGCACTGGCTAAATGTAAATGACATTGAACATATACTGTATGCAAACGTGGAGCTTTATACAGAAGCTCAAAATCATTCAAATATTTATTAAATAAATATATTATTTGAATACAGAGCTTTAAATGGATCACCCCATTGCCTATTAAATATAAATCATTAAAAAAGTTTTAGAAGCAGTATTCAACCCTTACCCTATAAGGTTTTTGTGTTTTATTTTGTATTTATTGTAACAAAAAAGTCCTATAAGACTATAATGTTTTTGGAAATGGTACAGTGAGTGTACAATGTCACAATGCTTAGGCTATTATAGGCTACGGATCTGAGTTGCGTTTGTAATTTCACACTGCCTGACTGCCACCGTGTGGATTTTTACTGCACTGCATTTGACTTCCTTTGAACCGTTATTTACTGTTACTTCACAGTTTATAGATTTGTGTTATTACTGATAAGGTACATATTGCAAGACGTTGTTAAAATACCTCGACCAACCGCAGAGGATGGAGTTTTCTGTATTTGCAAAGTAAACAAAAAGTCCGTTGCGTGCTTTTCAAAATACACATTGCTAAACCGTAGACTATAGGAAAAAAAAAATAAATAAATAATGTAAAGATGAATGGGTAATGAAGATGTAGTCTCATTAGGAATAGTGGCGGTTATTTGATTTGGGTTCAAATGTGGAACTTTTCAATCCAGTATAATATATATTAATAGGAATAGGGATAGGAAATTTCTATAATAAAACGAATAAAGCTGGCCTATTTATAATAAAAAGAACAATTTTAAATGACATATATTTATAGGCTATGTTTTTTTCAATTAGGCTGCTTTCTTAAATGTTTTTATAAAGTGTTGACATGTTGTATATATAGCCTAAACATTTTATTTTATTTGTAATAAAACTACATGTCAATCATTGTCAAATTATAGGGGTGTGTGCGTGTGTGTGTGTGTGAATACCGAAAATTCTTGACCTTGTGGGACTTTTATTTTTTATCCCAATTGGAAAACAGTTTATAAATCATGCTGCAATGTAAAAGAAAAATGTTGGATTAACTTAAAAAAAATAAGTAACCTGGCTGCCTTAAAATTTTAAGTTCCTTGAAATGGATAAATTGAGTTGATACAATGCAATGAAGGAGATTGATTTAGCCTAATCAAGAAGCTCAACATATTATGTTATCTGAACTACACAAATGATCTAAGTTGATTTGACAAAATAAAAAATGTTGTGATTACAAATCATGAAAATATTTTTTACAGTGTGCTTGATGTTTTTTAAAAATGTAAAAAAAGTTTTCTGTGAAGGGCAGGTTTAGGGGAAGGGTTAGGATCATTTTTGTACAGTAGCCTATAAAATCATTATGTCAACAAGGAAAGTCCCCATAAAACATGAAAACCCAACGTGTGTGCCTCTGCATTGTTTTAAATCAAATGTGCAGGGAACTGGGAAGCATAGGCCTATTTCACACACAATCATACTTTATACCTCTGGAAAGTTGACCAAAGCCATGATTATATCTTAGGCTATATATATATATATATATATATATATATATATATATATATATATATATATATATATATATATATATATATATATATATATATATATATATATATTCTGAAGTGTCCAAGCACAAATTCTTACGAAGCAGGTGTGTAGTAATTCCTATGAGTAATTCATATCAACAGGTATGACGTGTGTCAGTGGGCCCTCCTCTCCCTCTCCTGCTGCGTCGCGCGCTCTCCTCCTGCGTTGCTCCAGCTGCTGCCGCTGCTGCTGTTGTCTGCCTGCCTGACGGTGTGTGCGTGCGTGCGATCTCCTTTCCGCTCGCACCGTGCTGCTGCTCTTCAATGTAGCAAAGACCATGACAGGCATCGCCGCCGCCTCCTTCTTCTCCAACATTTGCCAGTTCGGAGGCTGCGGACTGCATTTCGAGTCGCTGGCCGAGCTCATCGTGCACATCGAGGATAATCACATCGGTAAGTGCGCTCGCGGAAACAGAATCGGTGCCGCTGCAGCGCGCGCAGCAATGGCCGGCTCGCTCACTTCCTGCGTCGCAGCGGCGCTGTTGCTAGGTGTGGTGAAGCGCTGGGACTTCAGTGTTTTGCTCGATTTCGTGGCGCTTATAGGTATCGATAGCACCAGTTCTCAACTCATTCGGGGTTTGTTAAGCCCCTTCAAAGTGACATGGTCTGAACGTGTAAACACAAGCGGTGGTATTACAATGTGAATGTTATTTTCTGCGCAAGGCCCCCATACACGGAGCTGCTGCTGAGATGTATCCATCTCACCCGCTCAGAGCAGCTCATAAACACTAAACGCATGGATAATACGGATTAACGCCCCCCAGAAGTGATTAAATACATTACTAATGCACCATCAGAGCTTCCTTAAATGCTAAATGTAACGGGTACGTGCGGTCATGATCCTTGCGTCATAATAATGATGTGCAGTGATCATGATGGACATGCAAATGATTAATAGGCTAACACGCACACAATAGAAAGCAGTGGCAGATCAGCATCAGATGACTATGCGAGTAGGTGTTAACTTATAAATTCATGCCCAGATTAGTAGGCTATGTATTATGTTGTGTGTATTAATGGTGTATTACAATGTCCTAAATGATATATAACACTATGATGGCTCTCAGTTGTCTGGTCAACAATCCAGTATCACACATTTTCTTAGAGTAAAAAAAAAAGTAATTGTGTTTATTACTGTTAAAGTAAGTCACATTTTAAAATAAAAAGGCATAATTGTGAGAAATAAAGTCAGACAAAATATGCTGAAATATATTTAAAAATGTTTAACTAATTAGAATGTATTTGGTTGAAAAGTTAGCCTACTTAGGGACTGTTTACACGACACCATTTTCAAAACGTTTTTGGCCATTCGTTTAGGACAGCGTTTTAGGTTTGCTTTTAACGGGTTTCAAAGTGCAAGTTTTAGAAAACAGTTCATAAAAAACGAATCTCTGAAAACAATGACGTAGTTTTTCTTCGCCATCTAATGACCTGGCAGAAGAATATACTGCATTTTTAGTCTTTTTTGTTTTTTCGTTTTCGCGGATCATTTCGACATCTGTACGAGGAAAACTCAGAGGAAATAATTTTTCGTTTTAAGCATATCGTTGATGTCTAAACGTACCCTATTGCATTAAGATTTCACTTGTTTCATGACTGGATGTTGATGAATCAAAATGTAACAGTCACTTGTCGCCAGTCGCCACCTACTGGTGTAACAATGTGATATACAATCATTGAACCACGAAGACTAAGTTACTTTCATGGAGATCTGCTCAGTTGATCGCTAATGTAGACATTATATATATCCAAACTTTAAACTTTTATCCCAGTACTTTTGTGATAATATGAATGTTTGTAAGACAGAAATAAGGATACTGTGTAGTTGAAAAAACTGTTTGTGAAGTGGTTTCATACATGACTGCTTTCTCTGGCTCAAAGGCAGTGCACAGATGTTCTGAATGTCCCAGTGTGATTTTGCCAAAGGTTTAATAGACACAGCTGAATCATTGTCATTTAAGAGTAAGATCGTGTGGGTGTTTGAATCGAGATCAAGCATTTTTAACGATTATTATTGCACAGAACGTGCAGATCTTGGTCATCAGGGTCTGATTTGTTGTCATTCAGAGGTCGCACTGGGGTCAGGAAACCCTTTTGAATCCCAGCCTACAGAACTCTTATCCAGTAGGCTCAAGGCCCTTTTATGCCCTGTATTGCCTTGCTGAATCAATAAAGTGTTATGGTTATCTTAATGCAGAAATAACTGTATAGATGTGTGCTTGTAAATGTGTGATAAATAAAATGGGTTCTTGGGCTGTTAGATACACGGAAATAGAGCGAAAGTAAACATGAAATGACTGAGGGCCTCTAAGTGACGTCTGAAAATGTAAACATAGCGAGATGGAATGCTGGTTTGCTTTGAGCACAGCGGAAAAAGGGTATTACATACCTGTCTGTCATTATCAATATGATGTCTTGATATCTTTCATTTTCTTGTGATCTAGTCTCTATAGTGCTGATGATGAATGTCTCAGTCAAGGGTGCTGGATCTGGACTTTGCTGGTGAACTACCTGTCCAGTAGACTCTGGCAGGAGCCTGTGTGGATTTGTAAGGAGAAATCTGATTTCTAGAGATAACCCCCCCCCCTCCTCTATGGTGACTGATGTTCCCTGTTAGCTCAGCTGGTCTGTGAGAAGGAGATCAGGAGAACTGGTAGAAATCATCAGTCCAGTCAACCGTTTTAGCCTGAGGTGCTTTCTGCCATCAATACACACTCTGCGGCTCAAAGACTCAGCAGTTGAATGCATTTTTGCCATGTGTGCATCACTCTTTGAAAGTTTAGTGTGCTATCTCACAGAGTTTGTCAAATCAAAATTGACAATTATTATTTTTTATGGAATATTGCAGTGTTTATTATGAATTGATTTAAAGGAGAACTCCGGCGCAAAATGAACCTTTGGTCTAATTACACATTGCTACCTAGTCAACCGCTATCTGAGATTTGTTTTCATGATTGCCGAATGTAAATAGTTTTATCTCTAAAAACAGTTTAGCCTATAACGCTAGTATAATGCTAGTATATAAGGCATAGAGTAATGACAAATAAAAATCGCTTGTTATTACCACTAACAAGGCTCAAAATAGCCCCACACTAACACGACAGCATAACAAGGGTCCCTACATTCAAACCGTAGCATTGAGAACTTTGTCAGTGTCCATACAGTTTAATAAGAAGATATTTTATACACACAGTCAACTTCGCGAATACAGGAAGAAGCCATCTTTGAAAAATAGTCTCTACCAGTCGATCTACGAGCGCCGATCCAAGTGCGCTGAACTGTGCAGAATCTCATATGGTCCGTTGTTTCCAGAAGAAACACAAACCATTTTCTTCTCTTCAATATGTACACGTAGCCTACTGTTCGCGCTCAGCTTATCACCTTATTCACATCCCACCAGCGCACTTGGATCGGCGTTCGTAGATCGACTGGTAGAGACTATTTTTCCAAGATGGCTTCTTCCTGTATTCGCGAAATTTACTGTGTGTATAAAATATCTTCTTATTAAACTGTATGGACACTGACAAAGTTCTCAATGCTTCGGTTTGAATGTAGGGACCCTTGTTATGCTGTCGTGTTGGTGTGGGGCTATTTTGAGCCTTTTTAGTGGTAATAATAGCAAGCGATTTTTATTTGTCATTACTCTATGCCCTATACACTAGCATTATACTAGCGTTATAGGCTAAACTGTTTTTAGAGATAAAACTATTTACATTCGGCAATCATGAAAACAAATCTCAGATAACAGTTGACTAGGTAACAATGTGTAATTAGACTAAAGGTTCATTTTGCGCCGGAGTTGTCCTTTAATGAATGGTCAAAATCAAGTCCCACCCCACAAAATTGTTTTTGTCCGAGGAGCCATTTCACTGGTTATATGTCACAAATAGAGATGAAAAGACTCTTTCATGCTGACTTTAAAGTAAGGCGGAAGTATTTGCAGAATTATGGCATCTAATAGCCTGTATAAGTTATATATGTTAGAGATTAATTATATTTTTCATTATCAATCCATATTTTGTATATTATTTGTATATGATATTTATATTATTTTTTTATTAATTTGATTATTTCATTCATTTTTCTTATTATATTTTTATAATGAATACATTTTACTTTATTTTGATAAATCAGTGTTGATTTTAATAATGGTGGATCCCTAACATGGTCTTTAATGTCTGATCTAAACTAGGCCTTCCTGTAGTTTGAAGTGTCAGATGCTAAAGGCTTGTTTTCAAATTAGATATTTTACATGCAAGTAGGTCATAAAGATTGTACAGGAGATATAGTAAGGGAACATTTTGCATACTATATCTTCCAAATCATCTGCAGTTGACCCAGTTCACAGGACGCAGTGAAATCGCACAATTTAAATTCACATTAAAATGTAATATTTTGAATTTCTGTACTTGGCCCAACCTATGTTGAGGTTCACACAACCTACGTTCAGTCACGCGACATTGACCTGAAGTGGAATAACAGCCACTGAAGGTTTTATCTAGTGATTGGGACCACTACTATGCTTAGTAGATGAGAGGCACCAACGAACGGTCCAAAGTCAGTGGTAAAATTAACATTAATACTTTTCTTTTTAGCAGAATTAACCTTATGCTAAGTACATTTAAAGGAGCAATGTGTAAAAAATTTGAGTATCTATTAACAGAAATGCAATATGACATCCATAACTATGTTTTCAGTAGTGTATAAAGAACTTACTTAATAAACCGTAATGTTTTTATTACCTTAGAATGAGACATTTATATCTACATAACTGCGGCCACCCCCTTTAATGAAGGTCGACATATTGTGACGTCATGTTTCTACCGTAGCCGAACGTAAACAAACAGTGCTACAGAGAACGTTTCGTCACTACCTTGAAAGAGAAGCAGTAGAAAGCTAGAAGCTAGCCATAAACACTGTGAGTAGTGTCTTTTGCCTTGTCAATGGTGTAAAATATAAAGTTGGATTGTTTCATGTAACTTAGTTCTTCTCCCTCGCTGTGTTATGGCTTTGTTATGTGGGGATAAATGTGCTGGTTACGTTCGTGAGACAGCTGATTAGCACTCATGTCATTGACCGCAAAACAGTATGTAACAGGAATCACCAACCCATCGATCGCGGTCGACAAGTCGATCTTGGAAGCATTTTTAGTCGAGAGAGTTCAGAGAGAAAAAAATCTGAGAAAAATGGTATTGTAAATGGTGTCTAGGGGATGGGGAGGCACACACGCTGTTACAATCATGTCATTTTTGCCGCGCGCACCTTTGGGCTCATGCGGACGCGTCGAGTTTAAATAAGGCTTTACACTTTAACCTGCTCAGCCACAGTAACAGCTCTATTACTACCCTTTTAGAAAAAGATATAGTTGCATATTTTCATGTGGTTCTTCTCCC